CGGGGCTACCCCAGAGGCTTCGCGCGAGGAACAGGTGAGGTTTTGGGTTGCTGAAGTGCTGTTGAAATGCTTGGACTACAGTATTGTACTTCTTGGCGCCAATTCGTGCCGCTCTAAATTTAAACAGTATTTGAATTTTGGTACGCACGGCCCTCTGTTGCTCGTGCTCCCGAGATTGATCTCCATTCCACGACTTCGTGATGTTAGCGTAGAAAGCGCATGAAAAGTTGCATGGGATCACTGTTGTACTAATTGCAGGCTTCTACGTGTGGCATTTGTTGTTGGCCCACCCATACTCCTGCTGAACATAACACACACCCTCCCCCGACTCCAACAACTCCTGATACATGTACGCAGGCTTCGGAGGAGCGTCGCTCTAGCGCGCTGGAGTTGATCCAGAAGGACCACGTGTTGATGGAGCGAGTACGGGCCATGCTGGGGGCGAGCGCTGCAGACCAGGCAGCAGCTAAGGAGGCGGCGGTCAACGCGGCGAACACTCGCGCGCTCCGTGCCTCGCTCCAAGCGCTGAAGCGGCACAGCAACAGCTCGATAGGGTGGACCGCGTAAACGACAGCGCTCGCCACAGCAGCGGGAGCGGGGGAGCACACGTGTCCTGACCCCAACCTGTGCCCCCCTGGCAACCGGTGCAAGCCCGCTGAGCCTGGTGGAGTGAGCTTTGCCGAGCGAGCCAAGAGTCTCGGCATTCGGTACGAGACTTTCAGCGACGCACGTGTGCGGATGCACAACACGAACCACGACATCGCCCCCAGGGACGCTGTGAGTGACGGGTGCTACGTGTATAACGAGCGCAAGACACGGAGTGACGTGACGAAAGATACGTAAGCTCAAGAGGGCGCGTACGCATTGCGAAGAGGAGGTTCTCGGAGTTGGGCTAGTGATTATGTGTTGACTGCCAACCGTGAAGAGTAGAAGCACTTAATTCGATCAATATGTGGGCAAATCCCCGTTTTGTCCCCGGGGGGGGACGTAATTTTCGTGTCCCCTGTCTCGTTTTTTCCCCGTGTGTTTGGCACAAGCTGCAGGGCTTTTAGTAGCTGAATAGCGGTCCAAAAAAACACTCAAATTGACCAAGATACAGGAAAATCCCCGTTTTGTCCCCGGGGGGGACGGAATTTTCGTGTCCCCTGTATCTCTTTTTCCTATACATTCGGAACAAGCTGTAGGGATTTTGTTTCCGGAACNTAGTAGCTGAATAGCGGTCCAAAAAAACACTCAAATTGACCAAGATACAGGAAAATCCCCGTTTTGTCCCCGGGGGGGACGGAATTTTCGTGTCCCCTGTATCTCTTTTTCCTATACATTCGGAACAAGCTGTAGGGATTTTGTTTCCGGAACAGTGGTCAAAAAAGCACTCAAATTGGCCAAGATATGGGAAAATCCCCGTTTGTCCCCGGGGGAGACGGAAATTTCGTGTCCCCTGTATCGCTTTTTCCTATACATTCGGAACAAGCTGTAGGGATTTTGTTTCCGGAACAGTGGTCAAAAAAGCACTCAAATTGGCCAAGATATGGGAAAATCCCCGTTTGTCCCCGGGGGAGACGGAAATTTCGTGTCCCCTGTATCGCTTTTTCCTATACATTCGGAACAAGCTGTAGGGATTTTGTTTCCGGAACAGTGGTCAAAAAAGCACTCAAATTGGCCAAGCTATGGGTAAATCCCCGTTTTGTCCCCGGGGGGGGACGGAAATTTCGTGTCCCCGGCTTCGCTTTTTCCTATACATTGAGTAAGATAAATCGCCAAATTTCGCTGAAAATCCACCTTCCCGACCCCGGATAAAAAATCTGAGACCGGATATCGCATGTACACACCCAGAGCAACCCACAGTTGACTTTTCAGAGCTTAGGCTGTTTGGCAACAACTCCATTCTCAACCTCACTTCGGCATACCCCGGAAGGCCCCTATGGGGGCTTCACCGACGACACATTGTGTGCAAGTTGGTGAGTGCCCAGTACAAGATAGGGCGGGGTAATGATCCGCTGGGTAGCGACTCCATACCTTGCAGTAGTCTTATCTGCGATGCTGATGGTGCACGAATCCCGACACACAGCAGCGTGAATCCTTTGTGGTGCAGCTACGTGTGTGCACCAGAGGGACAGGCTGCAGGGGCGACGGGCGCGACTATGGTTGTATGTGCGGCCCCGTTCAGAATGTTGCACTTTCCATGTGGGTGGTTGTTTCGTTTTCGTCGATACACATAATATTACATGCATCCAGTACGGGCCCGCAGTTAAGAAAAATTCTGATGAGAACACTAGGCTCAAATTGTTACGAAAGATAATGGAGAAGGGCTAAGAAACACAGCTCACTCTCGGCCACAACGTGAGAAACGTCCCACCCAATAAGAAACGTACATGAAGGTGCGATACCCCCAACACATACGGTAAGAAACAAGAGGTAGCTGGAGGAGCGTGCCCAATGAGAACTGTCCCACCGCTGCGCCTTACGTGTTCCCACGTTCCCACCCCCCTACCTAGCTAGCTGAACAGTGCATTTTTTTGGCAGGGGGGAGAGAGACAGGTAAATTCGCCTCACCAACGGCTACTACACCGAGTTTTCTTTCTGGTGAAGCGGCATGATGACCATTTGTTGTGCTGTATATTCTTTAGCCAAATAAGAACAAAATAAACGAAGTGAGAAATAATTAGGTTTGGAGGATGCGACGTTCCAAAGGAATAATAAATGCCTTTTAAGAAAACGGACGACTTCGACTGGTTCTTGGACCCAGAGTAACGGATTGAGGCTCGACCTGATTTTGACGTTTCTTATCTGCGGGTCGGTACTACTGTAGTCTACAAACCCCACCGACCCCACGACGAAACAAAATGTGATGTGAAGTCTTCCCGCTGCGCGGACGCAAAAACACGAACATCATCAGGGCATCTGGAAGAGAGGCACGCATGCGGCATGTACCTGGCGGCGAGCGTATCACACATCACGCCGTCGAGGAGCACGACCAGCAGCGTAGACATTGGATTGTGACAAGACAGATGGCAAATATTGCGCCAGGTTCACAACTTGCCGGTCACATTCATCGCAAGCCTTCCGAGTTTCCCGCCAAGTGAAAGCAAGCAGTCTATAGTATACGAAGACAGTCAGTAGCGCGGCGCAAGTACTTAACTTGCACCGACTCCGCCAGGAACCATCCCGATAACGTACAGCAGCAGTAGCCCCGCACGTTCTCGACGGATTCTCTCGATGGTTGGTACGATCTCTGGACTTGGAAGGTGTGCTATGTTATGTGTTCGTTTGTGATATAATGGTCGGTCTGTTGTTTGTTGTTTTGGGAGCAATCGGTTGGACCACTAAACACTAGTACCAATTAACACCCGCCAGGTAACACACGGCGCATAACTATGCCCACGACGCACAGGTCGTAAAGCCCCGGCCCCTCGTGGTCATCATAGACAGCTGGTCTCGGATCAACGTCCTGTTGTTATCCTTTGATTGATGTGGTGTTGTCCTACGCGTGTCTTTGTATGTTCTTATTAATAGCATCGACCGCCTAACTAACCGGCTGACCAATGAAAAGACGCCAGTCTTAGTGCGGTTGAAACACAAAACACTTCTATCTGCCATGGACTGGGACCCTGTGCGGGGGCAGTATGGGAGAGGCTAACTATCCTTCGGATCAAAGGCAGAAATGGCAGCAACAGAAGAAAACTGGACGCGGCTACCAAGACTGGTAGTAGTGTGTGTGTGGTGTGCAATCTTCGATAGCTTGGACATTTTTCCTCTCCACAACTCCTGGGCATCCGAGGATGGATGCGATCTCCTACGAATTTGGGTCACATATACCTGTGAAGCGCGGCCATCTGTTGTCGAAGCACAACCAAACCGGTGTGACGGAGAGCGCGTATTTTTTCTTCCTTAGAAGTGAATAGATCGTGAAACGGTGCCCTATAGGTCTCATTCTGGTCCGAAAGGTGCGATAAAGAAATGTACGTCACTCACGGAAATGAAACTTTGAGCCCTCGCAACACGCGGCGGAACTCAGGCCGATATATAGAGCCTTTTTTTCCTCCCGGGAGATGAAGTGAGAAAGGTCGCGCTTCGCTTTGCGCGGCTCATTATAATTTTTTCCCACCCCAAGGGCTCGTACCCCCCCCCTCGGTGTTTGCCATCGGGGTTGGGTTTTCGTCGCTTGGCAACGACGTTGTAAAACAAGCC